TGGTGCTTAGTTGCTGGCTGGGGCTAAACCACGACAAATGCCAGGCAAATTGAATTCACTTTGCTCTTAATCCCAACATATATTTTCAGAAGGGTAAGAATTGCAGCCCTAAATATAGGTTCCTAGGTGGTATTGTAACATGTTAATGTGGTAAGTTCACCTAGGCTTTCCTCTTCATCATGTTTGATTATGGGTTTTATCTGAACAGTCAGGTGTGTATGACTACTTACTTAAGATACTGGCTTTACTCAAACTAGTACTGAAACCTTACTGAGACTGCAATGTTGAGATGTTATGAAACTGCATGGCTTTAAGAGCGTATGTACACCTCTTTTGAATGCAAAGAGAGCACTCATTTGTCTGCCAAAGATAGAGCATACATAAGATGCTGCATCGTGAAATCAATTCCTTTTCCTTCATACAAGAAAGACTTACGCCCATGTTTTGCGTTTTAGAAGTTTAGGAAGTTGTTACGTTTGCAGAGCATATATATGCTACTTCTGAACTGTCTAGTCTCCTGCTGTGTGTTCGGGGTCAGAGAAAATTTTACCTCAGATTGTTGCTTCATCTCTTTCTGATCCAAGTGATAATGTGTACACGAGCAAGTAACCCATTATTTTAACCTTCATAAGCCGAGACTAGTTAGAATAGTGATAAATCTTTTAAGTCTATAAATTAATTCCTTCTGGAAAGTTTCTATACAAATATTATTTTGCAAGTGTATTATCAGTTCTTACAGCTCAAATAATTTAATGAAATTGATTTAATCTCTTACTTCCTTTCCCCAAGCCTCCAGGTCTACCTGTACCTTGCCATACTGTATTTTTGATTAGAGCTCCCTGAGATCTGTCTCTTAAGATGGTATAATGTCAAGTTAAGACAGCCCTCGTGGGTGTTGCAATAATAGTTTACTTGCTTGGTAGGAAATGTTTAATATATCCATTCTCTTATAAGACAGCAAAAATCTCCTGAAACTGAGGGACAGGATCAAGAAGTGAGGCACTTTTCTGTCTAGCAGCACTAGTTCTTGGGATGATGCTGGAGAAAAAAACTTCTGTCCAAGCAAAAGAAAAGCTGACAGTTGTTTCTTACGTACTATTTCAGATGAGGGATGTGCACTGAGTGAAGGTGGAAAAGAGAGGAGCTTCTTTTTTCTGTAGATGTTGAGTTGCAGAGGAGTTCGTATTTTGCAACTTAATAGTTTATATTTTTAAGTATTATAGTATACAGTGAGTGACGAATGTTGGGGGGTTTGTACCATGTATTCAGTTAAGCCTAAAATACCATTTTGCAGTATTTTTAAATATGCATATTCATGTATGTTCAACTAATAAACCCAAATTTTTGCAGTAGATGTCATGCTAAAAAAACCAACTCTCTACCAGTTCTGTTGGGCTAGATTCTGCGTCTTCCCTAAATGTAGAGTAGCTTTGGATATCTGATGTTTTTCTGCGGTTAGACCAAATAGGCTGCCTGGAAACTTACTTTATTAATCTTGCTTTTAAGGCCTGTAGGTTGTTGTATTGATTTTGGTCTTCTGCTAAGGATGTAGTTCAGGCACCCAAGTGAGAGAACTTTGTAAATTTCTGTAATTGTTAATGATAGTTATCTATAACTTACACTTAAAATTATCTGTGGTATTTCTAACAGTTACTAAAGCATTGAAAATATCTCATAGTTTACTTTTTTACGCTAAGTGGCAGTTTTGGGTAATGTAGAATTTTTCACCTTTCTAGGTCTTTGATGTATAGTGAAGCTAACAGACGGGAGACGTTCACTTCATGGCCTCATGTGGGTTATAGGTGGGCACAGCCAGATCCTATGGCTCAAGCTGGGTTCTATCACCAGGTAACAGGTTTAGTTGTTCTTAGTATTTGTTCCCTAGGTGAGGGTTTGGGGAGCAGGGGAAAAAGTATTTTTTTTTCTTTTTAATGATTTTTATTTTTTATGGAGTCCTTCGATGATGCAAAAACCATAATGAAAATGTTTGTCATTCAGCTTTTTTCTTTTTTTAAGTTTCAATTTTTTTCCATGCCTTGAGGTTGCTTCTTTCTTTGTACAGAACAGAGAAAATACTGTTCTGAACTTCAGCATATAAAACACTTTTAAGTATCAAATTGATCTGAGTTAAACAACAATAATAAAGATGAAGTTGATTGTTACATAAAGTCTCTCTTTCTCCTTGTTAGATTGTTGAGTAAATATCCTTACTTCTTATATTGTAAGTAAAGCAAAAAAAGCAATAAACTTGACATTGGAGTTCTCTAACCATACTGTCCCGGTGGGACTTAACTGTATCGTAACAAACAACAGTCCTAGATCACATTACTAAATTATTAAGCTTAGTGAATAAATACAAACTTAACATTTTATTCCACTAGTTATGCTTATTTCCATTTTTCATTCTTCGAAATTATTTCTACTATAAAAAAATTATGTATGGATTTAGATTACGATGGCTAGGCAGCACGTATCATTTGACATCAGTATTGTCTGCCTCATTATGTCAACTGCAAAGCCTGATAGGTGCAAGTGGATAAAGTTTTTGGAGGATTTCTTAAGCTTCTTCAGGAGGAGAAATGCATGGAATTCATATGTTAGAATTGCATCTGCATATTCCCAAGCATATCTTGGCGACTTGAAATGTGGGCATGAAAATGCCAAATTTTAAGAGAATGGAAATTTCCAGTTTTTTCCCTCTGTCACTTCAGCTAGTAACAACTGTTCTTTGCAGAGGAGTGATACAGAGTGCTTTATAGTCCAGCAGATTGAAGGCATATAGGAAGTATTTGTTTAACTTGTGTTTTTTCCAAGCAGTTACTCTGCTGAGGTTCTAAATTTTTTGAACCTTGTGAACTTTTTCCAAAGAAAAAAAAAGTCTTAGCAGTGATGCTGAGTTCTGTTCTATGTCTGTGTGGTTTTTATCCAGTGGTTTGCACAGGTGTTCGTTCTGAATCTTTTCTACAATAATGTGGTGTATCCTTTTTTTTTTTTTTTTTTAATGTGAAATACTACCACTTTATAGTATGTAATTTGTGGCCTTTTATACGTTTGATGTGGTGCTTTGCTATGCCACTAGAAGGAGGAGAGGACTTGATCACCTAGTTAAAGTGTTTTGTAGTACATAGCTATATAAATTTCAAGTGTCTCTTATTTTTATAGCCTGCTTCATCAGGAGATGACAGAGCCATGTGCTTTACCTGTAGTGTGTGTTTGGTATGCTGGGAGCCTACAGATGAACCCTGGTAAGTTTAATGATGTTTGGAGTAGACTTAATTCTGTGCTGAAGAGGTTAGAAATCTTTGGAGGACAAAGATCAACATTATCTCCATGGGATTTCTGGTGAGTTTAGGGAGTGTCACTGACAAGAATGGATTTCCAGAATGATTCCATGGAACAAATCACCAAATAATTCCTTGTACTACATCAGATTTCTGTATAATACTAAACCCAAGAAATTGTAGTTGGTTTTATTTCTTAATTCTGATTTGCTATTTCATTTGAAATTGTTCCATGGCAGAGGGCAGCCAACATTTCTTTGCAGGGATTTAAACTCAATCTGCTGTATGATTGTGACTAGAACACATCTTTTTTTAAGTTCTTAAACTGCAATGGCCATGCTGTGTATATTTGCCTTTCATGTGAAGTTGCAAGATCCATTACTAGTTGTCTGAATCAGCTAAAATTGTGCATAGTGACAGAAATGCAGGACCTTATATTGATTTTAAAAGGGTTCTTAACGTAATTTGTGTCTTATTTGGTATTTTATAGTTTTTATTTGAACACATCAGATTCCTGGCTTGCTGGAGACTTTCCTTTATAATGTTATCTTCATAGTCCTTGTCTCCTCCTTTCCCTTGTTAGTTTCCAGACATTTTGTAGCAGTGTAATTGCTATTTGCTATGTCTCTGCCTTAGGTATATACTGAGATTAGAAAGGTTTTTTCATGCTTCTTGGTCAATCTGTCATTCAGGACTGTGTTTAATTTTGATTTTTATAAGTGTGGATGTAGAACTAAAGACAGGACATTGCTTCATCTTATTAAGGTTACTTATAATAATATCTCATAACATTGGAATACTAATGTACGTTCTGTAGAATTTAATCTGCGCTTTTCTTCATGAGGGCATGATGGGCTACTGCGTATAGAACAATTATTTTTTTAAATGGACTAATTATGCTAGGAGCAGTGTGTGTAGATTCCTCCATTTGAATATGAGTATCCATTAAGTGATCAAAGGCTTTAATACAGTCTGCTATTGAGAAACAGCAGGGAAAGCTGCATTAGTAACTTCAGAACTCCCTTGTACGGTTGACTTCAATACAGTTCAAACAGTTCAGTCTCAGCTTCACTTCAAGGGCTGAGTTTGTATATGATGTGTATATGATGTGTATTCTTTCACAGTAAGAAATCAACATTTGCTATGTTTGTTTTTAATATGAAAAGGTCTGAACATGAGAGACATTCCCCAAACTGCCCATTTGTCAAGGGTGAGCACACTCAGAATGTACCTCTTTCAGTCACACTGGCAACAAGTCCAGCGCAATTTCCCTGCACAGATGGCACTGACAGAATAGCCTGCTTTGGATCTGGAAGTTGCCCTCATTTTCTAGCTGCTGCAACAAAACGAGGAAAGATCTGCATATGGGATGTTTCCAAACTTATGAAGGTATACAATATAAACAGCCAGTTTTTATTAATTAATTACTGATTAAGCATATCTCGATTTAAATCAAAGACCTCTTCTGTTTTTTGTTGTTATATCTCAGGTCCACTTAAAATTTGAGATCAATGCATATGATCCAGCTATTGTGCAGCAACTTATGTTATCAGGAGAACAGAGCTCAGGGGTTGACTCAAGGAGGCCAACGCTAGCATGGCTAGAAGATTCATCTAGCTGCTCAGATATACCAAAATTAGAAGGAGACAGGTAAGCTGATCTACAAAATTAGAAATATCAAATGCTGCTGTGTAAGTGGTAAATGCAGTTTAGTTAAGTCATGCTTTGTGAAGCATAAGATTGGTAAGATTTTTTTTTTTTCAGAGATAATTTTTTTTAATCACTGTATATCTGTACACAATTCAACACATAGAAATTTAGATTATTGGTTTTTATCTTTAAAGCCAG